GAGGTGGGTGTGTGATGATACATACATATGGGTCGACGCCTCGATCGATACTCCGCTTGGAATCAATCGAGTCCTGGATGTCTCTTCCTACGATACCTCCTGGTAGCAGCACACGGATCACCGGAAAGCCGTGCAAAGACAGACGCGATGAGACGAGGGGTGAAGAAAAGTCATTGGTGTCATTCTGTCACGTGTCACAGTATGCATATGAATAAAACTCGATATAGTGGTGAGATGATGATGCAGACAGAAACTGGGAGGGGAAGTGGAATGGAAAAAAGCTTGGGTCTCGAAGAATCAATCCGAGCTTCTTCTGGTGACGATGTCGGGGATGATGATGTCGATGATGATGATGATGATGATGATGATGATTTCCATGCTGGTCAGTCGGTGGTGATGACAATTCCCGGCCCAATGATGAATGCTTCAAACCTTACGACGTCATCGGCGTGTTTCGCCCGAGTGTCTAGTGTCTAGTGTGTCAGCTTCCATCAAGTGCCGCAACGGCCTTTTTTCTTCACCAGGTATTTGTTACTCGGTATGGAGCTGGAGGTTCGGTGGTGGAGAGGTCCGAGCTGAGCTGTCTGGCCGTCCAGTCTATCTGTCTGTCTGTCCGTCTGTCTGAAGGGAAGGAAACTGCCCATTTCTTGGTGATGGTGACTGCCGGGATTGCCAGTTCTGCCACGCTCACCACACCACACCACACCATACCACACCACGCCATTGATCCTCTCGCGCGCTTATCATCATCTCTTTTCCCTCCCAGCTCAAATACCCGATCGCCTCTCGCACTCTCTCCTCTTCCTTCTTCCTCATCAACCACAACGCCTCACATCCCTACGTGTACATTATCTCGTCGCCTCGTCAACTAACCCAACAGCAACACTCCACCAACAACAACAACAACAACACCGTCGCAATGGAAGGCAAGGGTTTGATCAACATCGTCGCGCGTGCGCTTCAGGTACGTCGAGAGTCCGATTTCCTTTTGCGCGACATTCATCCTCCACCATCGCGTCGCAATTTTTCGACACGACACATGCGCATCTGTGCGCATTTCGAAGATCGCATCGCGAACATGATGCGTGGACACTGCTGCATCCAGTCAAACGTATACCGCAAAAAAGACCCCGTCGCTAACGGTTTCGCTCATCCAACAGTTCCTGTGGACCCTGCTCGTCATGGCCATCACCGGTAACATGATCCACAGCTCATGGTCCGGCACCAACAGCGCCCCCAGCATCATCAACTACACCATGTTCTGCGCCGTCTGGGCCATGCTCACCCTCTTCTACCTCATCCCGGCCACCGTCAAGGACTCTTTCCAGATCCACGCCGCTCTGCCTTTCGCCCTCGACGTCTTGAACACCGTCTTCTGGTTCTGCGCCGCCGTTGCCTTTGCCGCCAAGCTCGGCGCCCACAGCTGCTCCGATGTCGTAAGTCCTGCCGACGAACTGCGCGATTGCGCCTCAATTCAGATGGATCCGCTGACAATATTATTTCCTCAGGGATACGTTATGTCCAACGAAGTCACCTCCAGCGCCCCCAACATGGAGAAACAGTGCCGTGAGGGCCAGGCCGTCACCGCCTTCCTCTGGTTCGGTTTCGCCGCCTTTGCCGTCTCTACCGCCCTCACTGGCCTCGGTGGCCTCGGTGGTGGCTCCTCCCGCCGCGTCGCCCGTGGCCCCCAGATGAGCAAGGTTTAAATCATCCCCTACCAACAAACATTCGATGCGATTATGCGACGCGTGTGACGATGAAAGGACTCGAATTGGGATCCGTTCTTCTGCGACGGCTTCACACACCCCACACATGGTCGTTTTGCCTCTCCACTCGAGAGCATGACGCACTGTCGCGGTGTCAGGATATACGAGCCGGAAGGATGGACCTCGGTCCGTGATGATGACGAACGGAGTACATGAGAGAAAGATCGAGCGAGCTGTAACGATAGCTCCTCCTCCCACTTCGCCCCGCGAGGTACGAGAGGTTGATGCGACATCTCGTCTTTGTCTTTGAATTGTTTTTTTGTTGCTGTTTTTCTAATGTCTATTATGCGATGTGTTGTGTGGAGTGGATGGGAAGATTTACATGATAACCACTGAGAGAGCTCGAGAGAGTGAGAAGCAAAAGAAAATCTAATGTTTTAATGTCTTCATTTGGTCTTTGTGTGTGTCCTGCCATCCTTGTCGTCGTGTCGATTTGTTTGACTCATCTGGTCACCTTTGACCATCCCATCACCAAATCGTAGGCGATTTCCAGTCACATCCGCTCTTTACCACCAGAACGTCTGGCTGAATTGTGTATATATTGAGCTTGTGGAAATATGGTATTTGCGGAGAGATCTTACACACACGCTCCACCCACTCACCCAGGAAAACAGACCACCCATCAGATCTAGACCGCACGCGTAGGATGAAGGTTCCCAAGATGAGGCGTATTCCTATTCGGTGATCCATCCATGCGTCCATGTATCCATCCATCAGCGGCGCGCGCGCCACACAACCTGCTGCAATGGGAAGTAAACGGGTATGCAATATGCAATGCAAGACTGGCCGGCTCCGCCCGCCGAGGTTAAATCTCTCTTCTTGCTTGGTTTCGGCTTGAGCCGCTATCACAGCAGCGATCGGGGAATGACGTCGAGTTCGTTATGCTCCCTTCTTTCGACGGGGTCTCTTCTCCTCGAGGGGATATCGATTATGTACCTCTTTCTGCGGGTCTTTCCAGATCATCTGGCTTAGAGCACCCCAGATGCCTCAGATGCCTTTTTCTTTTTAATGGGTGTGAATGTGAATAAAGCAAAAAGGCGGAGAAAGAGACCTGTCTCTTCCCCGGCCGGAGGTTCAAGGCTGGTGGAGCTTCTTCCTTTCCCTCGCGCGCGGACCAGGGCCGCTGCAGACAGTGCGGTGTGATGACACTCCCGCTACGTCACACACGCTCGCGGTCCATGTCATTATGATCGTTGGATCTCCACACAAGCAAATGCCATTTCTTCTCTCGCCTTTCGTTGCATGCAGCTTTCCTTCCGCGCTCTGTAATAATGATGGTGATCATAGATTAGATCGACGAGACCACGGTGTAATAATGACTACAACAGGGTCTTGCATCTCAGTAACGACCTCCCCGCCGCCGTGAAGCCGGTCGCGTGTTTCGATTGTCCCTAGAACCGATCCCTCGGCCCTGGAAATCCACGCGCGCTCCGTCCTGGGGCATTCGCGAGAACATCGTTGTTATGACATCTTCACGATTCGTCTCCGCCAATTCCGTCGGCGTAGTCTCGGTCGCGTGAGGGAGATCCTTTTGGCGTGGTTGTCCATCCTGCCTGGCGCTGTGCTGCAATCCTCTCATTCTCCCAATCCGGTCATCCTTTCCTGGTCCACCGCAACAGGCACTTGACCGTACTCTCGATTTTCCAGCCTGTCTCTTTGACCTCCGATCGCAACTTTGTTGGTGGTGGTTCTTAGAGTGACCGCCGATTCCAAACATTTCGCCATACACGACACATACACGCAATAGACGACAATCAACACATTCATGAGCGTACCGACCAGCAATTACATCCGCTTCTAAAGCGCAAGTAAGACCGCCAAACGTGGCCAACTTCACTCCCGGCTACGATGATGTCGTCGCCTTTGGAAAACAGTCAGGGACCCTCGCCGGCATTGTTACGCGATTCTGACGGCCGACCCATCATCCCTATCACGCCACTCGCGGGGATCGATTTTGGCGCGCATCTGAGTGACCGCCCGAAACTCTCAACCGACCAACCTTCCTCGCAACCGGAATCTTCGTATTTCATCGCACACCCGAAGGAGTCAGAGCAAGACAAAGCGGCGACCGAAGAAGTCGAGGAGTGTCAAGATGATGTCGAGGAAGCGGAGAATCAGAGACATGGGGTCGCAGCAGGAGACAAGCGGGACACGACGCAGGGGACAAACGACCGCTCCAAAGATCCGCTTGAGACACCGCCCATCGCATCGCTTCATCGAGTGCGTACAGCACCCGCACCGTCCGCCTCGAGGGCGCGTTTGTCGCGTTCGCGCAGTAGCTTCATGCACAAGGTGCGCCGACCCAGCAACAGCCCGTATTCATACACATTCGACCCGATGTATTCTTCTTCATCAGACAGCAGCTCCGACGATGACACGGAGGATGAGACCGATGTGCGCCAAGCACAGAAAGGCGCCCAAGCACCCCGCAAGAGACCACAGATATTACCACGTTCGAGCGACCATGAGGACCAGGCAGATCGCAAGCGCGCCCAACGCGGACAATCATATTCGCGTTTCAAAATGGCCAACAAAGACTTTCAGAGCAGCGGAAAGGTTTCAAAGAGAGACGGGAGATTGAACATCTCCATCAATGAGACGGCCAACAATGGATATCTCGCGAGAGCACTGGGTCAGAGCCTGCGACATCATCTGGACCTCCCCAATGCGAAGAAGTCGAGCAAGCAACAGCGCTACGCCGGCGACAATGCGAAATCGTCGAAAGGCGCCGTCGGGACGGATGCGGATGCTGTGGCCGCCTCGTCACAAGAGGACGCGCCTCGACCTCGCCTGAATATTGTCATCATCATCATCGGCAGTCGAGGCGATATTCAACCGTTCATAAGGATCGGGCAGATCTTGAAGCAAGACCATGGGCATCATGTCCGGTTGGCGACGCACGCTACTTTTCGCGATTTCGTCGAAGAGGCTGGATTGGAATTCTTCAGCATCGGCGGTAACCCATCAGAACTCATGGCCTTCATGGTCAGGAACCCCGGCCTGATCCCATCACTGTCGACCATCCGAGAAGGCGAAGTTGCTCGCCGGCGAGAGGCCATGGGGTTGATGTTCGAGGGCATGTGGCGCGCCTGCACTAACATACGCGATGGCGAGACGGACGAGCATAACCTCAAACTCATGAACCAAGACCACCCCTTCGTCGCCGACGCCGTCATCGCCAACCCGCCATCGATGGCGCCACCGCACATCGTGGAGCGCCTGGGCATTCCTCTTTTCATGGCTTTCACTTTCCCATACACCCCGACCCAGCATTTCCCCCACCCCCTCGCCAACATCCGGCCGGGCCGCTCAAACGTCGATACGAGCTACGTCAATTTCATGTCATACCCCCTCGTGGAAATGATGACATGGCAAGGACTGGGCGATGTCGTCAACCGATTCCGCGCCAAAACTCTCCGGTTGGAACCCGTCAGCGCACTCTGGGCCCCTGGCGCGCTGTACCGCATGAAGGTCCCCTACACGTACATGTGGAGCCCCGGTCTGATCCCGAAACCCAGCGATTGGGGCCCGGAGATTGACATTACGGGGTTCGTCTTTCTCGACCTGGCGTCCAATTTCAAACCTCCCCAGGATTTGGCCGACTTCCTCGCGGCGGGCCCGCCGCCGGTGTATATCGGGTTCGGCAGCATTGTCGTCGATGATCCGGCCGAGTTCACCAAGATGATCTTCGAGGCGGCGAAACTGGCCGGCGTGCGGGCGCTGGTGAACAAAGGCTGGGGTGGTCTCGGCGACGGCGATGATGTCCAGGTCCCGGACAACGTCTTCATGCTGGAGAACACGCCGCACGACTGGCTGTTTCCCAAGGTCGCGGCGGTCGTTCATCATGGTGGAGCGGGGACCACAGCCATCGGGCTGAAGTGCGGAAAACCCACGATGATTGTGCCGTTCTTTGGCGATCAGCCGTTCTGGGGAGCCGAAGTGGCGAAACATCAGGCCGGTGCTCTGGAATGCATCCCTTATAAGAAATTGACGGTCGATCGTCTCGCGGAGGGCATCAAACAGTGCTTGACGGAAGAGGCACAGGTCAATGCCAAGCGATTGGCGGAGGACATCAACGCAGAAGGCGATGGTGCCGCGAACGCAGTCGCGAGCTTCCACCGGAGCCTGCCATTCTCTGGCCCGAACAGCATGCGATGTTCCATCCTGGAGGATCGGGTTGCGGTCTGGCACGTCCGGGGCACCTCGCTACGTCTTTCGGCAGTCGCCGCAGAGATCCTCCTGCAGAAACGCAAGATCAAACGCCATGATCTCAAGCTCCTCCGACATTGTTCCTGGAACGACTTCGACGGACCTGGTGAGCCCATCACCGGAAGTGTCGCCGCCATCACGGATTCGGTCTTCGATATCGGGACCGGCGTGGGGATGGTCCCGTTGCGAGTGGCGAAACAGATCAGGAAGCAAAAGGCTCATGAGCATAAAAAGCGACAGGCGGCGATTCGCAAAGCTGAACATCGCCGGAAGAAGGATGCCGCTCGAGCAGCGGAGGCCAATGCCGAGCTTGAGCGGCAAAATGCCGAAAAGGCCAATGGGGACGCACATCCACCCGCCGAGAATGCGGAGCCGAGCGATTCGCGGCCTTCCATCCAACGCGAGCAGACGGCATCGACCCAACTCTCCGTCATCTCCACCGAGGGCCCGGATGTACCACTACCCACCGCGATCGTGACCGAAGTCCGTTCCGGTCTGAGGAAATCTGCCATCGCTCTTCTCACCATGCCTAACGACCTCCATCTCGCCGTCGCCCAAGGCTTCCACAACGCCCCGCGCCTTTGGGGCGATGCCACCGTCCGGAAACCAACGCGCATCACGGGGATCAAATCCGGCCTCATCGCGGCCCGTCGCGAATTCGTCTACGGCGTCTACGACGGCTTCACAGGCGTCGTCACCCAGCCCATCGGCGGATGGCGCGATGCCTCCGCAAGTCGCGCAATCGCGCAATCCGAAGTCGCCGACGGCGATCGGATGCTCGAGAAGCCAGCCGGGGCCGGCCTCGCACGCAAACTCGGCGGCTTCGGCACCGGCATCGCCAAAGGCCTCGGCGGCCTCGTGGTCAAGAACGTCTCGGCCATCATCACCCCGCCGGCGTATTTCAGCAAGGGCGTGCTCGTGTGGACCGGCAAGAGGATGGAGGGCGAGGGCACGAAGAAATTCCTCCGCCGCAGCCATTTCACCGTCGGCTTCGTCGAGCTCCTGGACCTGAGGAACGCGGCGGCGGCGAACCCCGCGGAGAAGGAGAAGCTCCAGAAGACCCTGGCGAAGGTCGGCGAGCGATGGAAGGCGCTCTACGTGGTCGACAAGCCGGAAAAGGGGCAGAAAAGCAAGAATGCCCCTTCTTCTTCTTCTGCCGCAGCCGCGGCGGAGAAGAAACGCACCCGCAGTTCCAGCCGCCCGCGGATCGAGCCGAAGGATCGGCACAAATCGGGGACGATGCCGCTCCGTTCATCCAAGGACGAACGAGACGCTCTCACCCCGACTCCCACAAAGGAAGCCCGATCGACGGACCTCGACGGCACGGCCACGAAGGATGCCATCGCACCGGTCACCAAGGCCGACGCCAAGAACCTCGCCGTCCACAACGACGACTCCCGTACCGCGGACGGAAGCGGCGTGGGAGGCAAAGGCCACCTCGACCCCCTCGTCCCTCCTGCCTCTTCAGCTCGTCATCCCGACTCCCTGCAGGCCCCGCACGACGTCCGCGAGCGCGACGACCTCCCCAGCGACACCACCCTCGCCTCTCCCGCCGACGAAGAGCGCCAGGACGACAACGACGACGACGACGCCGAGGATCACAAAAAGGACTCCGATGACATGGAGAATCCCACCACCACCACCACCACCTCCACGGTAGCCCCGACGAATCTCCAAAAGGTCGCGACCTCGCCACACTTGGAGAAGACTACCTCCCTGACGCGCGATTTCGCAAATAAGAAACTGGACGGGGAGCAGGAGAAGAACGGGGCTAGTGGGAAGAAGGAGAAGAAGAAGTCGTTGAAGAAGAAGGAGAAAGAGGCCAACAAGATGGAAAACGGGATCAAACCACAGGGCGGATTCTCGCCTAGGGCGATGATGAAGGGGACGAGGTTTGGGAGGAGAGCTGGGGGAGAGGTGGAGGTTGTTTGAGATGGGAGGATCTTTCTCACCTTTTGGGCCGGGTTTCATTTGATTGTTTGTGATATCCCTTTGCGTTGATCAGAGAATTAGTTGTACATACAGTAATGGATACTCGCGTTATCGCGACCACTTGAGATAATAAGTGCATACATGGCGTGCGCCTACATCTTCGCCTGACTCCTCTGAGATGACCGAGATGTCTTCCTCGGAGTCGAGGTACCGAAGAAGGTCGACATTGGCCACGAGCCATGTGGGGTTGATGGACTGTGATTCTCTCATTTCGTGTGACTCTTCCACGACCCGAAGTTGTCCCCTGGGAGCCGAGTTCCTTGACAGAAGGAGGGCATTGGCGGCCATTGGCGGCCATTGGCGACGGAACATGTGGACCGTGAACGCCGTCACGTTCCATCCGCCCGTCGGGGTCTCAGTCACCGCTTCACTCCGCGCATGTGCGTTCTGGAGTCTTCCACCTTATCCACCATGGGAAGATTTGTCAACCGCATAGAACATGACAGAGAAACAGAGGTGCAATTAGCCGAAACCCCTTCCACACCGACCATCACATGATGACCCGGAGGATAAGGCCCGGAGCGTGCCGAACGAACACATCCACCATCGTTCGCCCCAAGCAGTCCAAAGGCGAAAACCCGTGCCCTTTTCTTCTTCCCACGTGCTGCTGCTACATCCCACCTGCATACCGTCCCGTCCATGCGAGGCCATGCCCATCCACCCATCTGCCACGATGCTTCCTCGCCGGTTCCGACCTGGCTGAACATCGGCGGGAAATAACAACAACAACGACAACGACAACAACAACGCTTCGGCGATGATTTCCTCAAACAGACATCTGAAATCCGGGGACAGGGACTGGCGGGTGCGCCGAATCGAAATCTCCCTGCTCCATTCTCGAACTCTGCTCCGTTCCATTCGTCCGCTTGGGCTTGCGGGCCTGCGGGTCTACGAGGCTTGTCTCTGTTGTGTTGTGTTGTGTTGTGTTGTGTTGTGCGGTCTGGATCGGTCACGTCCGTCTCCGGCTCTATCTTCATTTTTTAAACACCCATCTATCTAGTGCAATTGCGGGGGGCCAGCGCAGGACCGCACCTACACACAAGCGCAAGCGCTGTTTCTTCTGGGGGAGATACTGCACTTCCCCGGCCTGTGCGCGCCCGATACTGCTAGTGACCGACCCCGGATTCCTGGAGGGAGTTGTCGCAGCACAGTGCACACACACACACACACAGGCCAGATGCAGCCGCAATTCAGAGTTTCCCCAATGACGTCCCGGTGAAATCCCGCAGTACACCCGCTTGGAGCGATAGCCGGCGCATCGGGTCGTATCAGGTGTTGTGTTGCTTGCTTCTGTTGCTACCGCTCCGTGCAGATGGTACTTTGAAGAGAGAATCGATACATGTACAGTTGGGAGATAAGGGTCGAGGGACATCCTCTGCTTTTTGGCTTTTCGTTCGTCCCATTGCTGCGCGCCCTGATTTTCGTTTCTGTCCTCTAACTCCGGTCGAGCACGCCAACCGTCCTCCGGAATCGCCGGTCCTCCGATATACATCTCTCGACCGTCGCCGCAATGGGCTCCCAGAGCGGCAGCAGCTCCACCAACAACCTTTCCTCAGAGAACGAGAAAGGCCTCGGGCAGACCCGCCATGAAGACCTCGACGACCCGGACGCCGGCCTGAGCGACGCCGAGCGCGCCGCCATCGACAAGAAGCTCCTCCGCAAACTCGACATGAAGCTCATCCCCTGGCTCACGCTGCTCTACCTCGTCTCCTTCCTGGACCGGACCAACATCGGAAACGCCAAGATCGACGGCCTGATCCCGGATCTGAAAATGACCGACGGCCAATACAGCGCTTCGCTGTCCATCTTCTTCGTCTCATATGCCCTCTTCGAGCCGCTCACCAACGTCCTCCTCAAGCGCCTGAAGCCGAGCGTCTTCATCCCGGCCATCATGCTCGCCTGGGGAGTCGTCATGACCCTGATGGGCATCGTGTACAATTTCGAGGGACTCGCCGCGGCGCGCTTCTTCCTGGGCGTGGCCGAGGCGGGGCTCTTCCCTGGTGTCAACTATTACCTTTCTTGTTGGTACAAGCGTTCGGAGATTGGCAAACGGGTATGTTTCTTCCTTCCCCGATCGCAGTGTTGGTTCCATGGATGATTCCGGGCTCCTCTGAAATGTTGCTGACTTGAGAGGGAAAATTAGTCTGCAATCTTCTTCAGTGCTGCGGCCTTGGCGGGATCCTTCGGAGGCTTGCTCGCGGCGGCCATTGCGAAGATGACGGGGATCGGAGGCCTCAAGGGCTGGCAGTGGATTTTCATTCTGGAGGGTTTGGCGACCGTCATCATCGGAATCGTCAGTTTCTGGATGGTCCACGATTTCCCGGATGACGCCAAGTTCCTTTCCAAGGAGGATCGTTACCGGGTCATCCGCCGGCTGCGTCAAGACAAACAGAGCAGTGCTGAACATGAAGACTTCAAGATGGCGTACTTCTGGGCGTCAGTCAAGGACTGGAAGACGTACGCCTTCGCCCTCATCTACACTGGCGCTGTGATGCCTCTTTACGCCTTCTCGCTCTTTGTGAGTGTTCTAATATCAATTTCGATCGCCATGATAAATCCGCTAACTTGTCCAATGGCAGATCCCTTCAATCATCAAAGCTCTGGGCTACACCAGCACCACCGCCAACTTGCTCTCGGTCCCGCCTTACGCGGTCGCAGCGGTAGTCACCATCACCGTCGGTTTCCTCGCGGACAAAGCCCGTCACCGCGGTTCTTTCAACATCGGCATCTCGATCATCGGCATCGTCGGCTTCGCCATGCTCCTCGGAAGCCGGAACGCCCAAATCCAATACGCCGGGACATTCCTCGGCGCGGTCGGCATCTTCCCCTGCATTTCCAACATCATCTCCTGGGCCGCCAACAACACCGAAGGCGTCTACAAGCGCGGCGTGACCCTCGGCTTTGTCATCGGTTTCGTAAGTCTCCGTCCCCAGAACAGCGACGTCCACAAAATCGTCGGGGAGAATCGCTCGTCTAACATTTCCCTTTTCCTTCGCAGGGCAACCTCAACGGCGTCGTCGCCTCGAACATCTATCTCGCCCGCGAGGCCACCACGGGCTATACCACCGGCCACGCCGTCATCCTCGGGTACATGTGCGGCCTGCTCTGCATCGGCAGCATCATCACGCACTTCGCCCTCGCGGCCGAGAACCGGAAACGTCTGGCGGGTAAACGCGACGACAGACTGGTGGGCAAGTCGAGCTCCGAGGTGGAACTGCTGGGTGATCGGAGGCCGGATTTCGTTTACACCACTTGATGGGGAATCATCTCGGATCTGGTCTCGGATAGAAATATGATTGGATGTGATTTACGGCTGTGATGCAACGTCCTCTTTCTTTGTGGTGAAAGTGAGTGTTTGGTGGGAAGTATGGGACGGAAATGTTGTGAAGTGAGAAGGCGATCATGCACAGGTAGGATTGTTTCGTCTCGGTGTGTTCAGCACGTGGTCATTTCTTGACCATTGTGTGATGCTGTGGTTCACAGGCATGATCACGCAATCGGGGATAACCCTAATCAAACATTCACTTTTCTCGGTCGCCATTCAATGGTGAACAAGATTTACACACTTCACATTGTCACGAGAATGACGCGCACACACACACACAGATGGACAGCATAACACTGCGGGTTTATATTTTTAACCGCTCATGATGCATTTTCCAAAGTATTTGCTTTTCTCCTCGTCCTTCCTGGCTTCCTTCTCATGCTACAGAACTTCATGGGAAGGGAGCACCGCAGTCGTGGATGTGGAGGGTGTTACCAATCACATCGTTGGTGTAGGTGACGTGGGCGTAGTTGATGAAGATGTCATTGCGTTGACCAAGGTCGCAGTTCTGTCCGCCCCGTTAGCCTTTTGCTTTTGGTCTCATCATCACTCAGGCGAGATGCGTCAACTTACAGTGTTCTCACCGGTGGCGGGTGGTGCGCACAACACGGTCGTCGCGGCGGTGTTGTTGTATCCGGTGGCCTTTTGCCAGTACTCGTTTCCGTGGTGAGTGAAGCCCAGGAACGCCGGGGGCACTTGCGGGACACCGTCGTTGGAGTGGGTCACACGGAAGTAGTTGGCGAAGGGGACAAATTTGAAGAGGTAGGTGCTGAAGGCCGAGTTGCCGTTGCGAGGCTCGCCGAAGGTGTAGGTGGCGGCAATCTTGATACCGCGAGCGCCGAGAGCAACGGTTCCAAGGGATGCAAGGGCGCCTCCGAGAGAGTGACCGGTCAGGACGAGAGAGTAGCCTGGGTTCGCGGCGATGGCGGAGTTGACCGCCGAGAGGACTTGTGCGCCAATGCCGTTGTAGACCTTTTGGAAGCCGGTGTGAACGTTGCATCCTGAGCAGCTGGTTCCGGCGATGGTCAACGCGGTCGAACCGAAGTCGAGATCGGAGTCCCAGTTCTGCGGGGTGTAGGTTCCACGGAATGAGAGAACGATCTGTTTCGCAGAGTCCCAACGGAACAGTGTGGCGTGTCCATCGGTGGGGGCATCGTTGATGTAGTTCAAGACGACTGAGCCATTGGGAGGAGTTGCGCAGGTGGACGCGTATGAAGCACGGGCGAATCGTGTGTATTGCACAATATTATCCCATGTTCCTTGAGTGACTGCGAAGTAACGCTCAGTACGAATTTCTGCGACATGGTCATTTGCATGGTATACTCACTGGCTGATTGAGCAGCGACTTGACCTGCTGCGAGGAGAATCGCGGCGACAACTGATGAGGAACGCATATTGAAAGCAACCTTTGATATTGGTAAGAAATCAAAGAAGAGTGGGTTACGCGAGAAATCAGAAAGAGGATATTTGGAGATCTATCGAGGAACTACCTGACTTCCATCTCGGCGATATGAGGCGGTTGCTAGTCCGGCCATTACACATGTCAATGTGCGTTAAGCATCAAGATCGCTCGGGAATTTTGACGCCGAAGCCTAGGTTTGACGGTTGAGCGGCCAGATTTGCGGGGGTATGGCACCCTCGTGGCGCCCCAAACTGTCAAAATTTGAGGCTAAACCCACTCTTTCCCCTCAAACTTACCAGGAACAGCCACGCCACACCTCCACCAACGGTCGGGGTACGTCTGATCGACAGGTCCGCTGCGTAATAGCAACCTTGGAAGGTTTTCATGTGGGATCGTCTGCGAGCAATACCACCATCCAGCCGAGCTTGAAATGCCGAGCACAACGTCGCGAGTGAGATCGGAGTTCTCGAGTTTGTTTCCTGACCTTTGGATCGTTTCCAAGGCTTCTTGACGCATCCAATTCTCAACATCCATCAACCTCATATCGACGAAAATGCGTGCCTTCAGCGTTGCCCTCTCGCTGGTCCTCAGCTCTGCTGCTCTGATCGCAGCAGCAGATGTTGATGTCGTTATCTCAGCCCTCAACACATTGAACGCCGACTTGAAGACACTCGACACCGACCTCAACAAAGTCAAGGCCGGCATCTTTGGCATTCGGGATGCCTTGCAAGCCAGCGTCGACACCACGGTAGTCGACAACGACATTATTGCCGCGAACACCGCCGTTGCGAACGCCGCCAAGTTCAGCGCCTCCGACTCGGCACGCATCATCACCGTCGTCGACGCGCTCGCAGCTCAATCCAACAAGACCATAACCACCACTATCAAGCAGGCGCCCGCCTTTGGTGGCCTGGCCCCTGTTGTGCTCGCAAGCCTGTACCAATTGAAGACCGACAGCAACACTCTCGGATTCAACTTCGCCTTCAAGCTCGACCAGTCTGCCATTAACCAGGGTGTCATCGATTTGACGGTAATCCAGCAAGGGTTCGCTGCAGCTATTGTCGCGTATGGAGGAACGAGTGAGTACTACTTCGTGACGGTCTTTTGACATCGACGCTGACTTCAATGGTGCAGACTAAATTTAAGATTGATAAATGATGAAAAGTTTTTATGTGGGCATAACAGATGTTGTTTGACGTGAAAGGGTAGCGGTAGTAGATATTCAGACATTCATCCGTTTCTTGTCCACAACGCAAATAATGTTTCCCACGACATGCCGCAGTGACATTTTGTCTCGTATCGTAGAGTGCTTAGAACGCTAGTCTCTTCTCATGACGAGATAGCTCACTTTCGCTCACACATAGCATAGTTCAAGAAAGACTGGCTCGAAGGTATTTCCTCCAACCTCATCCCCTTCAACAGACAGCAACCCTAACGAGAACAATTCTGACGTCAGATCCATCTCTGGATTGCAGCCAATCACAGATGTTTCGCAGTGTCGGTAGTGACCAACAGCGAACATTCTCGAACGTATTCAATCGTGTCTTGAGAACGCTCGCAAGAGTTTTGAAACCTTAGACTTCATAAACCAACATGCCGGACAAAGATGCCAGCACCCCGCGGGTGTTCCTCATGCGCCATGGAGAAACCGAATGGACCATCAATGGCCGATACACGGGCAAGTCGGATATTTCAATGACGGCCCACGGCGAGCATGAAATCATCGGCACAGGCGAGACAGTGTACGGACCTGGCAAATTAATCGATCCCGCCAAAGTGGCCAAGGTCTGGCTCTCGCCGCGAAAGCGTGCGATCAAGACCTATGAATTGTTATCGGGTAAGACGGATGGTTACGAGATCACGGAAAGCCTGGCCGAATGGGATTACGGGTGAGTTGAATTTTGAAATCCAGAGGTAGCGAGACAGTGCCCAAGAAACAACCGGGGAAGATTTATCATAGATGGGCACGTGTTTCTCATGTGCAAACAAAAACAACTCCTACATTGCCGGGCAGATGGCTGATCACATTGGCTGCTTCATAGTCTTTATGATGGCCTGAAGACCAACGAGATCCGCGAGCTTCGAGCTTCCCATGGCCTGGACAAGGAACGAAGCTGGGATATCTGGCGCGACGGCTGCGAGGAAGGAGAGACCCCCGCCCAAGTCACTGCTCGGATCGATCAATTGATTGCCGAGATTCGGGCTCTGCAGGCACCTCACATGAAGGATGATGCTCCGAAGGATGTCATCCTCGTTGCACATGGTCATCTCACCCGTGCTTTCGCGAAACGCTGGCTAGGATATGACATGTCTTTTCCTCTCAGCCTGATGATGCAACCTGGCGGTGTCGGTATTCTGAGCTATCAGCATCATAACATCGATGAGCCGGCGCTGTTGCTTGGAATCGGGTTTCCGAAACAGGAATGACGATGGAGAGATTCCGCATAACATGTTTTTGGCCATTAGCATAGCAGAAACCTTTCGAGACTATCCTATGTATGCATATCTCAATGTGCACCTGCATGCTGTGAAATATGCAAATACAGAAATACATTGCAAGCATTGTGAGGTCTCTCGCGGACGGGTTGAAGTCGAGAGGTGACGATGTTACAAAAGCAGAGGCGCCCTTCTGATGCACGATGCTCGTCCATCACATCGGCTTTTGTTGTAAAATTTCTCACTGGAAACGAACTCAGGTTGAGCACAAAGCTTGTTGAGAATGATGATAATCCCGGTACTATACACCTGCGTGTTGCTGCCATCCTGCGTAGCTGCCCAGCGTCATTAGGAGGTGTTCGCCGCGTGTGTCCGAGGAAAGTCTAGCGCCAAATTTTAAGGGTACTGGCGCAGAAGTTGGAAACGCTGTGAGGTCGTCGAATGCCCATTCGAAATCGCTCATCATCCTTCCTGTCACAATCATCAACTTCAACGGCGCATCGCCGCTCGTCATCATCCATCACATTTCGCAGTATCGCATCGTCTGATGGCTTCCGCAAGGAACGCGACGGCTGCGGTCAGCGATGCCGCCGACTCGGCAGCAGCAGCTAGTTCTTCATTTTTAGATCGTCTCTCGACATGGTACTCCGAGAACAAGGTCGTCGCGTGGACAATTGCCGGCGCTTCGATCGTCGCCATCGGTGGAACCATATACGTTCTCTCACAGCCACCGCGGACACAGGATGCTGAGAAAAAAACAAAGAAAGATCGTCGGAAAGCAGCAAAGAAGGCACCAGAACCGGCCGAGGTGAAGCCCGAGCCAGAAGCCGCGCCCAAGCCTGCCTCAGTGGAAGTCGCCGAAGAGCTCCCCGTCGTCACCGAGGACTCCGTTGGTCAATTGTCTGAGCAAGAACGAAAAGATTATGCCGCCAAGCTCAAGGCCGCTGGAAACAAAGCCTACGGCAGCAAAGAATACAACCGTGCCATCGAACTGTACAGCCAAGCCATCATGTGCAAAGCCGACCCCGTCTTCTACTCAAACCGTGCTGCTTGCTGGAATGCGATGAGCAACTGGGAGAAGGTCATCGAGGATACCACTGCCGCTATCAACCTGGACAACGAATACGTAAAAGCCCTGAACCGCCGCGCCAATGCCTACGAGCAGGAAGGTCGCTACAGTGAAGCGCTTCTCGACTACACTGCCAGCTGCATCATTGATCAATTCCGCAATGAGGGCTCCGCTCAGGCTGTCGAACGCCTCCTCAAGAAGGTTGCCGAGACTAAAGCAAAGGCAATTCTCGAAAGCAAGGCCAAGAAGCTCCCGTCTCCCACGTTCATCTCCAACTACCTGCAATCATTCCGCTCCAAGGATCTTCCTGCCGACATCGACGAGACCGCCGACCTCCCCGTAGACAGTGGCCGATACAATCTCCGCAAAGGACTCCTCGCCATCCGACACCGCACCAGCGAAGGCTACCTCGAGGCCGCCGAAAGCTTCGACCGGGCAGTTGAGCAGGGTGATTTGGATAAACATGAAGCTTTGGCATACAACATGCGCGGTACCTTCCGCTACCTCAAGGGCGAGGCGGAGGGCGCTTTGGAGGATTTGAACAAGTCAATCGAATTGGACAAGACCATGGTGCAGAGCTACGTCAAGCGTGCAAGCATGCATCTTGAAGGAGGTATGTCATAGCAAGTGCGTTGCCACGAAGTGCAAGGACAAGGACTGACAGAAAGATTCTAGGTGCTCGCGAAAACGCCGCCAACGACTTCGAACTCGCCAACAGCCACAACCCTGATGACCCTGACATCTACTACCACCGTGCCCAACTTCACTTCATCTTGTCCGAGTTCAGTCTCGCCGCTACCGATTACCAGAAATCAATCGATCTTGACACTTCTTTCATCTTCTCACATATCCAGCTTGGTGTGACCCAATACAAGATGGGTTCGATCGCGAGCAGCATGGCAACTTTCCGCCGCTGCATCAAGAACTTTGGCGACAAGAGCGATGTCTACAACTACTACGGCGAGCTGTTGCTCGACCAGCAAAAGTACCAGGAGGCCGTCGAGAAGTTCGAGACTGCCGTGGAGATGGAGCGCAAGGGTGTTGGTGAGCGTGGTGGTGGAATGAACGTCTTGCCATTGATCAACAAGGCCCTGGCTCTCTTCCAATGGAAGCAAGACTTCAGTGCCGCCGAGGAACTCTGCCAAAAGGCTCTCATCAGTATGTTCACTCTCTCACGTCATGGACGAGAATCGTAAAGCTGACCTATATGACAGTCGACCCTGAGTGCGACATTGCAGTGGCCACGATGGCTCAGCTTTTGCTTCAACAAGGCAAGGTTACCGAAGCCCTCACTTACTTCGAGCGTGCCGCTGAGCTGTCCCGGACTGAGGGCGAAATCATCAACGCCCTTTCATACGCCGAGGCCACGAGGACGCAACTCGAAGTGCAAGAGAAGTACCCCCAACTGCAGGCCAAGCTACAAGCAGGTATGGGCGCCATGGGAGGTGCGCCGATGAGATGATGTGGGTGATGACATATCTGTCTGCCACCGGAGTTCTAATACACGACATGGTTTAAGTTCCTTTCGCGGACGTTCGCTGTCCTGTATTTCAATAATTAGTGTTGGGTTTGAGGACGTTCACTGGCAGACTTTTCCTGCTATCATCAATCTGTATTGTACGTATTCCTGGTGTCGGCTAGGCATGGGATGCCTCTTGTCGACTTGGAATACCTGTATAATATCTACAAATATTCATTCTTTTCTGATGATCGAGGGCTCAGTACTTCCAGAGTGGTCGCGGATAACAATCACCTCGCGTCCTGAGTTACGTATGATGAAATGCTGGGCTGTGGAGTGTTTTCTCGTGAATTGACGCCACGATCGCCCGCTGAAGACCTAAAAACAACGACAGCCCCCTTTCTGATAATCTACGTACTCAGCCTTGAACATCAAAGTTGTCAACACCACGGGCACAATTATATTCATCACCCTCAGCAATGGATCATTATAGCACTACGCGACTGAAACTTCTCCAAGCGGATTTTCTCATTGGTATCCCGAACGACACATTATGTCTTCATCGTAATGTCATCCTCATACAAAAGTTTCGACCATTAGGGTGGGCCAAAATCAACGACGTAACTCTGCCTTACATCAACAACGATGATGCTATCACTACGTATGATGATGTGAAGTATACACAAGAGATGGGATATATCGGTGGTCGTTCGGATTGACGAGTAGTAGTGCTCTGTAGCACGAGGGTGACTGGCGAATGCTTCAGAGCGTACCTAAGTAAGCACGAGAGTACTTCTCTTTCACTCTCATTGGAAACACTTTTCATTCTCTCTCTTGAACTATATTCGCATACATTCGGAAGTCGACTTTACAACTTCATTACTCTGGCCATCCATCCAGCATCAACAATGTCTTCCGAGCAAACTCCCCTCGAGATCGCCGCCCAGCCGGAGCGCGACCTCAACTCCCGCGAGGCCAAAGTCGGCGCCTCCAAGCCGAGCGATAGCGGTACGTGTACAACTTCGTCACAGATTGGACGTTGGGAACGGATTAACCAGAACCAATCACTAACATTCCCAAAGCCAACGAGTCCGGCATCGACGCCAACGTCATCAACAAATTTCCCGGCTCGACCGTGACCTACGGCTCGGCAGCCTCAGGAGCCGGTGACAACCCTGAGATTCCCGAGGAGGAAGGTGGAAGCCTCAATCCACGGACCGGACAGTGAGTCTCTTTACCCTGTGCAACTGCAACAATCAACGACCCAATGACTCGATCGAGACATTCACACATACAAGGAATTGATTAGCTAACACGAACCTCGTGATTGAGACCTACCAAGGCCCGCGACTTTGAGGGCGAAGGCGGCCTAGAGGAGAAGGCGGCGAAGTATGTCCAGGACCAGCCCGGCAACGATGATGTCCGGGAGAACATCCGCAACTAGAACGTGAAATTCTAGCAGCAGCTTTGTGGACGAGGAATGAAGTCAGAAGAGAGATTATGCGTCCTCACCTAACGTGACGATACCCATGCTGCTCATGATCAATGACGAGCTGCGGCGAGAGCTGGAACAGGAGAAGGCATGGAGAAATGGACATCAGGTAAATTGATCGCGTGATCTCGATGTTCAAATGCAACAGGATGGTTCTGTCATGTGTGATCAGTGGGCATCAGGTCAATCCAACGCCACGGAAAGACACGTTGACAAAGTTCGTACCGATTTTCACAAGCAAAAGAAGACACAAGATTCGTAAATTCCCATTCATTCGCCCACTGCCAGAGTGAGACATTTTCAAAAAAACCTCCCGTCTACTCCAATGATTCCGTTCCCTTGTTCAATCATTCGTACATCAAAGTCATCATACATTTCCTTCTATTGGGTAATAAAAAAGCAAAAGACCTAGAATTTTGCAATCCGTCTATCTTTTTCAAATTCATCAACTCCTTGGTGCCCCACAATTCTTTTCTGAAGACGTGAAACCATAATCAATAATAACTGTTGCGATCTCGATGGCTTCTCACAGGGACAAAAGTCGGTGGACCAGGCGCTGCGCCATTTGGACCGGTACTTCCGCCGCGATTTCGGCTGGGACCGAGGTCGATTGCCGAAATCTCCCGGGAAAGCGCATCGTGAGAAGAACCTTGTGCGATCTGCTGCTGGACTGGCGCAGATGAGTAGTCATAGGATGAAACTGGTCGTTGTTGGTACATGTTGGGATCGGACTGTGGGTGCGCGTGGCGATCGTAGTGTTGAGTTTGGTGTTGTTGTGGTGAGCGGTTGTCATACTGGTGATCGTATTGTCGTGCAGGCGCCTGATCGTAGTTCTGCTGCTGTTGGTACTGCGGTTGTGGTGGCGGATGGTGATACGCTGGCGAGGATGACGGTTGTGGGTGGGCGTGCGGGGAGTGACTATGAGGCAGAGGCGAGCGGCGGTCTTGATGCAGCTGCATTTGATTTTGAGCGGGCTGTGACTCCATGGGGACTTTGGGCGGTCTCATGGGTGGTGCACCAGAGTTAGCACCATATTCATCAGGTCCCGAGCCCTGGTAATGTCGGTCATACTGTTGCGGGCTCTGCTGCTGCTGCTGCTCATAAGGATTAGGAACAGGTGCAAAGTTTGAATGTCTATCCCGAGAAGACACTTCGATGGCAGAATGCCTGTGATCTGGCGGAGGCCCAGCACGCTTGAACAGACGATTACGCGTCGAATTGTCCTGAAACACATCATTGTGCCCAGGACTTGCCGCTGGCGAGGAGTCTGGACCTCCGGAACGATCCTTCATTCGAATGTTGACGACGGTGTCTTTGGAAAGTCTAGCACCAGACCCTGGCTGTGCCGCGCGTGGACCGAACTCACGATCTCGTCCCAGCCCATATGTCTTAGTAGGTGTGTTCTTTTTCTCGGGCTCGGGAGCCCAGGACCCGACAGGTAGATGATCAGAGGGGTCAATCTCCTGCCCGTGCCAACCTACGATCGGGGTTGGGTCATCAGCACCAGGTTTGGGCAAGCTTGGTTGATGGTGATCATAGCTGTCTGGCGAATATGGAATAGCAGGAGATGTTGAGAAGGACGGACGAGGAGAAACCGACTTGCGGATGGGTGTGGCATGATTCGGAGTGCGTTGCGAGGTTGAAAGCGGACTTTGATCGGAAGACTCGAACGCGCGCACAGGAAATTGCATACTATATGTGCTCGGTCGCTGTCTGGAAGTGGATGGCGGTGCCGAAGTCGGTGCTGAGACGGGAGCGGGAGCCGGCGCTGGAGAAATAGCTCTAGGCTTGACTATCGGAGCCACTTCCCGTTGGTGATCTGGATGCTGGTATGCTCGCTGTCCATCTGCGGACTGATCTTGCTGCGGCCTCGTGCCAGGGTACGTAGCATGGTGGACTGGCCGCTGAACCTCCTGGGATAATGGATGCGGTCTCGGCGGTGTACTGTACGGATCTGCCATGCTAAGACGCTGCGGTCCAGCTTTCGCCGGGGGAGTCCGACCGTATGGCGAAGGCGCTTGTGGCGATTGGTACACTGGGCTGTTGTCGTAACTTTGTTGATTTGGCGAGGGATGGTAGCTGTCATACGATTGTCCTCCATATTGCTGGTTCCGCGGAGGAGGGGTCTGTTGGTATTCATATTCAGGCTCGGCGATTGGAAGAGGGGAGGGACTGCGAGCGTACTGCTGTCTTCCGTCGTTTGGTGCTGTGGAGTACCGTGAAGGTGTCGTGGTGTGTGGATGCGCGTGACTGTGGTGAGGCACGGAAGGAGATGCGTGAACGTGCACCGGAGGTGGCGGGGGTGCTGCAGCAGCATGCTGCTCAGGGTAGTGGTTTCCATCACTTTGCGGGTAGCCATAAGCATCCACTTCTTCTGGTATGTATGATCCCCTTCGCTGATCCGTAGGCTGATGCTGATAATCCATGTTTGGCACTGATGCAGCGTGATCTCTCGATGGAGCATACTCGGCCTCTTGCCGATGATCTTCGAAGTGCCCCGTTGGCACCGCAGGTGCTGAATGAGTATGCGGAAGGTTCGTGTGACTTTGTGGTCTCGGCTGGGGTGCATGCTGCGCATGGTATGGTTGTTGCGTAGGTTGCTGAGCATATCGCGGCTGCTGAGGAAGTGACGCCCGTTGCCGCTGGCTGGGAGGTAATTGGGGCAGGAAGTCAGGCTCAGCACCACGAGGATCCGCTTCGAAGGACGCCGGCTCCATGTAACCATGTTGTGCTTCATGCGAAGGTGCAGCATGAGCTTGCTCCCACGATGTATGTGGCACAGGTTGAAACTGCTGAGGTCGTGGCGCCGGGTGAGCAGGTTGTTGCTGGTCTTGGGAACCGTAATGTGGGTTTGGTCCTGGCTGTGGAGCCGCAGGTGAATGACCGACAAGCGTATTGGACGAGTAAGGATAACTCAAAGAGTCTGGAGGAAGCGATTGCGCACGTTGGGGATTGGTGAGGTCTCGTGGGCCATGCTTTGCTCGCCCTGGAAGTGCTCGCTCTGGGATCACTACTGGGGTTGTACTGGGGACGTTGGGATTCGTTGGCAATGGTCGTCTCTTCACCTTCGGCCCTGCTAATGTTCCATATGCCTCCCGAAGCTCGTCTGCCACCGACAGTACTTCCATCTTTTCCGGCTTCTGTCGTGTGTCGTAATATGTCAACTCCACTCTCAGCTCGCCAGCGTATTTCCCTTTGAAGGTAAGCGCTTGCCAAAGATCATTTTTTCCTCCTCCTGGTACGATGACTTCATTAAGATCAACCCAAGCTTCTCCTATCAGGTCGGTTCGCTTGTCTTCACTAAAGACCGAAATTTTGAGGTTGTAATAATCAGGCGAGTCATGGACGGTGAAGCGGAGCTCTTGATCCCTGTAGGGTTTATTATCGTCAGCCTGAGTTCTGTTGAGATATGATTCGCTGAAATAGCATACCATCGAGGTGTTTGTCCTCCACGTTTGTCCGTTTCGGTCTTTCGCGCTTCCTTTCCCAGCCGTGCAGCACAATAGCAATTCTGTTTGCCCATGGCCTTGCGGTTCGGAAGGTTCTTGCCTCGATCAACGATCAAAACCAGGGTGCCGATTTCTGGCCCGTCGATGCTCATGTCTGCAAAGATGCCCGCAGAGTGCTGACCACCACTGAGACTGGCCATCGCGGCCATGTTGGGTGAGCCGCGAAGTGCTTTGTGGTGAACAGTCCTTGTGTATGCTGGAAGTCGGTGTCAATCGCCGCAAGCATTGATTGTTGATAGGTGGTATAGTAGTGGGAGTGGTAGTTAAAGATACAAGGATTGAGTGCACAAGGATGTACTCCCCGAAGTGTTTATTATTATTCGCTTACCCAGGTACAAGAGTAGGGCTGCAGGTGGATCGCGTCCAGGACCTGGGGGTTTATTTGCGGGGCTGGAGCGTGTTGGTGTTGGTCTCACTGTATCAACATTGTGGCCGTGCACGCATTCGTCACTCTCCCGATCCTGCCCAAGTGCCTACCGTGGTAACATACTGCGCCTTCGACAATGCGCGTACCATTATGGTTTCGATGTGTCTTCTCGCGCATTAATTTCTACGTAAACTCTGTATATTCCAAATCAATGATAATTTCAGGGGCAGGTGGTGCTGTGGAGTGCAGTGTCATCGCGAGAGATGCGCCACTACCCGTCCCCGCCGAGGGAGTGGCTGAGGATCATCGATGTGGCTGGGAGATTTGTTTCCAGATCGTCTCAACATGAAACAGTGCTGACGATATATCGCAAACACATGTCGCGTCACTCCTGGTCTTCTAGAACATCATTCCTTGGCTCGACGGTAATTACTTGCAGTTTCTTGCCCACGATATCTTAATGGTCATCCGAGAATCAACCATGTCCTTGTCCGGGGAATTTGATTCACGCCGGCAACGACCTCCAATCCGCCGCCACTATCAACGATCGTCCTCCTGGACCGATGACATCCCACATCGGCGCCCGAATGCCGACTCTACAGCCCGGAACGACCTCGCAGCCTCTTGAGGACGCCGCTGTTGCATGAGCGCTTAACAATATCTCTACAGTCGATTCCTCGTCGCCGACTCTGCATCCTGAGATGATCATCGGGCCACTACCATGAACCTGCCTCACAGTAATGGTCATCGCGAAGTCATCATCAAATCGCCGGATCCGACGACTCATAATCGCATCTTGGCCAGCCTGAAGGATCCACTGCTGCACAATTGCTGCTGTCCCACCCGGGACAAATTTAGCTCCGCGACGATGAGGAGAGAAGATCTCTGGTAATGGCAACGCAGTCACGTCGGTGTTCTCCGCGGGTCGAAGAAATGTTGGACGCAAGCTCGTGTTGCTGCTTGTAGACGGTGCGCCTACGGTGACAAATTGAGGTATGCTGGTCGTCAGGTGTTCCGGCCTTGCAGCCGAAGCTGGCACTGTTGGACGTTGGAAGATGGGTCTTGCAGGGTTATCGATAGGCATCGGATGCTCATGCTCTTGTTGCTGATCGGCTTGTGGTTGCCTCAGCTTCCGCCTCTTTGGAGAGAACGGTAATTCTTGTGACCATGTGCCGCCTTCGTTGATCTCGTTATTCAAGGTCGCAGCCGAGACTTGCTCGTTCGTTTGATAAAAGAGTTCCGTGCGGTCTTTACCGTTGGCATGGACAGCGTGTGCATTGTAATAGTCGTCTTCCTCATCGAGATAGCGTCCTCGACGATCGCGGAAATCATCATGCATCTCTGGTGAAGCAACCTCCTCGACATCTTCCCTCTTAGCCCGCACTGATGAGTTCACTGTCGTCGAAACAATGCTCGGCCGCGGTGTGCTTGGTGGGGCTTGCGTTGATCGCCCATGATTGAATCGCGGTGTCTGCGCAAATTGCAGCAGCGCTCGCGAAGTATGGCCCAATTGTATCGTTTCGCCAATAGCAATCTGCTTTCCCTCTGTTGTCGTTTTCGCAAACACATTTCGTCCTGGAGCTGGACCATCGGCGGCACCTGTAGATGGTAGGAACGGCTTCGCCACAGCTTTGGCATCGTCAGGCTTCTGAGAACGACCACCTGCGAGGAAACGACGCGGTGATGGCGTCTGTGAATGCGGTCAATACAGTATCATACGATGATCGGCGTCTCGACTTACTACTGGCGCCATGACCACAAATCGAGAACTGTGATGAATCTCGACGATCCTTGGCTCGGCAGTGGAGGGTTCATACATGTCACGCGCTTCGAGTTGACCTATATGGCCATCGTTGCTCAGACAGAGCAGATTATGCTCCCAAATGCGACGAATCTGTACATGCCTGGCAAATAGACCGAGTAAATTATGACCGATGCTGCTCACGATGGAAAAGACAGATTATCGACACTTGCTCAACACACATGTAAGCAGTGATCAAGCCTACGAATTGGAAGCATTAGATTCAGAGGTTCATTGACTGCATGTTCACCAATGAAGTCAGGCGCTTTCATCGGACGCATATTACAGTAGATATCAATATCAACCCTGGATAAATTGGCAACGATTTGGGTGACGGCTCAGGCGAACGTTTTGATATGCTACACTGCACGTAGTAGTAGTGTTTATTCTCGCATCGCACATCCAGCCCAACAAGACACGTTACATGATGATCTATAAATGTTTGATTGATTTTGAGATATTCATACACTCTCTCGGTGGCTACATCTGAGACAGCCGCTTAAGATGATGTCGATGGATATTCGGAGATAAATATGCTGATGCGCCCCTCTAACGTGCGTCGGACTTCCTCCGATTTTTTCGTAGCATCGCAATTGCGCAGAGACTTTTCGACGCGATCGTGCGACGCTGCATCATTGGCGGGACGAGATTGCCGGAGACGTATGAGCTCCGGAATTTGAGCATGTCCAGCAAAGCGCGCATCCTTCTCTTTACGTCGGCAACGCCAACTTTGGCGTCGATTCGACAGCAACTTCTGCTTATCCTGTTGTCCAGACTCCTCGTTGCTCTATCATGGGCCGTCTATAGCTTGGCGCTGAGAACCGCCTTCATTCTCTTCTCCACAGCATCCAGGTACTCGCCAGTGGTGACAAAGTCGTCCTTCTTGCCGCAGGCGATGGCCAAATCCTTGGTCATGATGCCTTGTTGGTCGACAACGTGAATGCATGCCTCCTCAAGGCTCTCGGCGAACTTGACGACCTCGGGTGTTCCGTCAAGCTCACCACGCTTGGCCAAACCGCGGGTCCATGCAAAGATGGAGGCGATGGGGTTGGTCGAGGTTGGGTTGCCTTTCTGGTGCTCGCGGTAGTGGCGAGTGACGGTACCGTGGGCGGCTTCGCTCTCGAAGGTCTTGCCATCCGGAGTGACAAGGACTGAGGTCATGAGACCGAGGGAGCCGAAGCCCTGGGCGACAATGTCTGATTGCACGTCACCATCGTAGTCTGTATGAAAAGGTTCAAATTAGCATCGAGGGTCGTTTTCACCAAGACAGAAACCCCGCCTTTCAGCTTGTAAAGTCAAAAGCGAGATTTTGTGTTACTCACTCTTCATTGCGATGAGCATGCCTCCGTCGCTCTTGATCATCTGCGCGACCATGTCATCGATGAGACGGTGCTCATACCAGATCTTCTTGGCCTCGAACTGGGAACGGTATTCCTTCTCGTAGATCTCCTGGAAGATGTCCTTGAATCGGCCGTCGTACTTCTTCAAGATGGTGTTCTTGGTGGACATGTACATGGGCAGCTCAAGATCAAGCGCGTGCTTGAACGAAGCGTGTGCGAAGCCCCGGATGCTCTCGACGGTGTTGTACTGTGTTTGGGCGACACCTCCTTGGGTCTCCTCGTTGAATTCGAACACGGAGATGGTCTCAGGCTTGCCTCCCTTGGGTGTGAAGGTCATCTCTAGCTTTCCAGGGCCGTCAATGACACGGTCTTTCGCACGGTATTGGTCGCCAAAGGCGTGTCGGCCGATGACGATAGGCTTCTTCCATCCAGGCACCAGACGCGGTACCTTCGGGATGACGATGGGCTCACGGAAGACGGTTCCGCCAAGGATGTTTCGAATGGTACCATTGGGGCTGAGCCACATCTGCTTGAGCTTGAACTCTTTGACTCGCGCCTCGTCTGGGGTGATGGTGGCGCACTTGACACCAACGCTGTACTTCTTGATCGCCTCAGCCGCATCAACGGTGACCTGATCGTTGGTCTCGTCACGGTAGGGCAGACCGAGATCGTAGTACTTGAGGTCGACATCGAGGTAAGGGTGGATGAACTTGTCTTTGATGTCCTGCCAGATGATGCGGGTCATCTCGTCGCCATCGAGCTCGACGATGGGGTTCTTGACCTTGATCTTCTCAAACTGTTGTGAAGCCATGGTGCGTCGCTGAAGGAGTTTGGCGGCTATGGGTCGTGGAAACGTGCGAGTAGGAGAAGAGAGGACGGAGGAGGAGGAAGTGGCGAAGGGACGAGCAGCAGTCAAGGACGATCTAATGATGTAGGAAGACATGACTACGAGCTGCTATTCCAATGTAGTGTAACCCGCGCGGGACGTCACCTGTTTAGGTAACCTGGGACGGAGCTGATGGTAGATCGAGTGCTGCAAGCGGTAGTAACAATTATTAATGCGGATTACCACGGGTGGTGTGCTCAGGTGGGGAGCTGTCTGTCCTGTATGTAGCAGGTGGTAACAAAATATGCAAGCAAGCTGAGAGCTGCTAAATTAGAAGACTTCCGGGTTTTGCGAAGGAAGCGTTTTCTTCTCTCGCGCCGCAAAAGTGGATTCGTTGTGATGAGCCGGTGATAACAAGCGGGCAGGACTGATGATAATGGTGATGAGCGTAGGAGAAAAAAAACGACTTTCCTGCAATGCCCGATGATGGAGACCTGCAGCTGCGATGACGGCGCTGACACAACGTGGGGTGAAGGGTTTGTGATAGATGAACAACGGCACCTGGGCAGTTATGTACAGTACAGAGAAGTAAGGCGTCGTGTGTAGAGTGGTAGGAATGGAGATCACGGACGGGTGAATGGAGGGTGACGCCAGAAACACTTGCACATAAATTTTTTCAGCCTACGATTTTGAGCCTATGCGCACGCATCGAACCTTCCGACTATGATCCATCCAGGCTAGTCCGGCTGGACCCCTCATCGCTCTTCGGGTCTGAGCCTCCTCCACTGTTTCCAGGGAAGGGAAGATTGACAAGAACGGCTTTTAGGTCGTCCAATGTCTTGCGGAAAGCCAGCTCGATTGGAGGTAGCGGCCGAATCGTAGGACGCACCTTTGCACCTTGTGCTCGAATCAGCCGCCGATCAGCAGAGACAGTGATGTCTGGCAAGTATATGCAACCGCGAACGCATCAATCGCATTCAACGTATGCCATGCCCATCAGCATAGCCATTACCCCAGTAAGCTTCAATGCTCATCTCTCTTCATACTGATCGCTGCGTGGGATCGGTAAGTGGAGCGGCGAGGACAATAAGCCACAACTTCACCACATTCCTATGCATGCACGCGAGGGTCGGGGCGGCAGCAAGGCTCCGTTCTGACATTCACAGGGCGTCGTGCCGAACCCTTGACTGTCGAACAAAAACGTGTTCTCCGGACAAGAGCTGACGAGAATGAACCGTTGAATACCATCCTGCTCCGTTGGCGAACCTCCACGTGCTGTAAAGATCACTCAAGCTTTGTCGTGGAATTCATCTCCATTGTGCAAGAATCACGTACGCACATATTGTTCCATACATACGACAAGCTCACACGAGGTCGAATATCCAGTGTCGAGTCGTCCGTGCCGGGATACCCATGGCGCAATTTTAAATTCACGCCAGCCTGTCCAGCGACATCGGAGCTCAACCTAGACTGTCCAGACGACGACAGGTCGATAATTCTCAACTACCGATGAAGGGCTCATAGGTTAAATTTCCAGCGTTCGTTAGCAAGAAGTGGATTGTGGTCGTCGTGAAGCGGGCTGTCGTATGATTGTGAGATAATGGTCAGCGGTGTCATTTGCTCGTGGAAGACCGCCGAGGTTACACAGATTCCGCACGCCGAAATTCAGTTCGCGACCTCTTCACCATGCTAGACGAGGTCCATATGAAAACCCTTTTGCGCGTCCACGAATAGACTCAGAACGTTGATCTGGCTGGTCGGCGATTTCGGAATCCGGATGCCCGCTATCTTCCTAGTTGAAGATAGCATTTTGCTGATCGCCTAGGCGCTCCGAACTTCAGCGTGAAACCGGATGGACAAATACATCCAGATGCTGAACAGCTAATCTGCATCTATATTCCACTTGACGTTTGCGTATTGCCACGACTACATGAATGCCTTAAGTCCGAACGACAATCAACACATGGAAGACATATGCCCAGGTGTTACTTGGTAGATCACGTGCTGAGCAGAATGCTATTAATGTGATCTGCTCCACACCTGGTATCATCAGGTTTCATGGGTTCAGAACTCCATATAATGACGTCATCTGGTCTTCTCTCGAGCACGTGAATTATGCGTACCTAGGTATGTTTTGAGTATGGCAGGCTAATCGTCCAACGCCATGTGCTGCGCCACAGCGATGGCTCATCGGGCTCTCAGCGCTTCGCGCCATGCAGATCTACAGGAGGTCGATGGACAGACGTGAATCTGAATAGACCGGCTTGTTATACAACACTCTTTGTCAAATCAATTTGACAGCTGTCGTATTCGATCAATACATCAGACGTGCCTAAACAGGAATGTCGCCCGCCGAAGAAATGCAGACCGCCGCGGTCAACCGGTCTATCCGGACAATCAAAGCAGTAGGTGCTGCATTTGGCTCATGAAGAGAATATATGCTTCATGTCCCTTGACTGACTCGCTGCGTCGCAGGAACTCGAATATCTCTGCGATGCTTCGATCATCACTCCTCAGACGCTCTCAAACTTGCTCAGCCAGATCCCGCCGCAAACAGCTTTGCACGCGCCCCTCTCCGTGGGAGCGGTTCCCTCCAACACTTCCGCCTTCGCACCGCAACCTCCGACCGCAGCGCTGAATAACCTGAACCTCCAAAACCAACAGCGCAATAACGATAGCTCGAACGAGAAGACCGGAAACTTCTACGGGCAACAACAGAACCAAACACCTCAACCTCCGCCACCTGCATACAACACGCCCCCACCAGCAGTGAATTGGCCCGCTCTGGCACAGGCCACCGCACTGTACGCCTACACCTCGCCCGACGCTGGCGATTTGGAGCTGCAGCCGAATGATCAGATCAGTGTGACCGAGTACCTCAACGCAGAATGGTGGAAGGGTAAGAACACACGCACTGGTCGTGAGGGTATCTTCCCACGGAGCTACGTCAAGGTCAACGAGGAGAAAGGTGCCGCGCCGGTCAATCCTCATGGCAACAACTATGGTAATGCGCCACTGGAGGTTAGCCAGGTTGGAAACGGCACAGGCGAGGCGCCGAATAAAGGATCAGAGATGGTATGTCATTTTCTCTTTCCTTCCTCAGGATGTTTCCGGAACATCGAAACTCATGCTGACGCACAAACCACAGGGCAAGAAGTTTGGCAAGAAGCTCGGAAACGCTGCCATCTTCGGTGCGGGAGCTACTATCGGTGGCAACATTGTCAACAGTATTTTCTAGGCTTCATGATTATCATGACGATTACGAATATCCTCAAATTGCATCGGAACGGCGTTTTGATTCTCGAGATCTTGCTTTGAACGTGAAAGATATAGATCGTCATGTCACATTGATAAAAGTTTGCTGGTTTGGACCGGAACCCTCCCTCATCAGGAAAGCTGAAAACAGTGAAGAGAATGTCAACAAATAGTGCTGATAAGAATATACAGGTCATAATTACAAAACTCGATCGTCACGCCCTTCGCGCTTTGCGCGCAGCAGTGCGGCTAAATGCAAATCGCTCATCACTTTCCAAAGTGGAAGGCAGAAAATGTAAACGCATTCCAAATCCGGAACAAAAATTATGTGGCTCTTGCAAGATGGAAATCTTAGACGTTGGGAAAGACAACCCACAGCGGCAGGCCGAATGACTCTTCACCGAGCCCGGAAAAGAGAGCCCAACAGTCCCTTTGGCTTCGGAGCTGGGGCAGGCTGTGGCGTCTTCGTTGACCCGTTGGCAGCAGCCGGTCGACTCGACCTCTTTCGCTCACTTCCGTGCGCTTCGTGTCGCGAACTCTCCCTGCCCTCGGCTCGTCTTCTCGGCTCTCCTTCGCGCGGTGAAGCTGATTCTCTGGGAGTGGATTCCTTGGCAGCGGTATCTCGTCGTCTTCGGCGTTCAGTGGCTTCTCGCTCTGATTCGCCTTCTCCTCTGCGCGATGAGGAGGTTTTCGGGCGGTCTTCATTCTCACGAGGTGTGCTAGACTCCTGCTCGGACTCGCGAGGATGGGATGGTGTAGCTCTGGAAGTCTTGACTTCGCCTTCTCTGCGGCCGCTCTTTTCAGTGCCACTGCCGGTGCTGCGGTGGTGATGGTGATGGCGATGCTTTCGCGGCGAGGCCGGTGATGCGAGAGGCGATCCAGGCTTTTCAGGAACTTCTTTCTCGCGACTTGTCGTGGATGGTACAGGCACTTCCTCCGCAACTGGTGCTTCCTTCGGCGTCGATGGTCGTGGCTGCGGTGTGAGAGTGCCTCGTGATCGGTCGGGAGTATGTGGCTGCGGTGTGGACACCTTACGTGGACGATCTGCTTCCTTTTCTGCTCGTGACGACGTCCGCTCATTTCCACGGCTCGAGACTCTTGGCGATTCCGGCTCTCGCATCCTTCGTGCTGGAGCGGAAGGTATCGAGGCTTTACGCGCGGAGCTGTTATTGCTGCTGCTACCAGTCAACTTGGCAAAAAAGCCGGTTTTTGGCGCAGACGCAGACTTTTTGGTCCCGGAGGACTGCCGAACCTGAGCCGATGCCCGACGCTCGCGCGGCATTGAGCGGGCAGCCTCGGGCTTCTCTGTTGCCTTTTCATTGCGCTTCTTCAGCTCCTCAGCCTTCTTCGCGGCGACTTCAGCTTCGGCACGCGCCATCCTGGCGGCTTCCTCGGCAGCAGCTTTCCGCGCAGCTGCACGGCGCGCTTCACGCGCTGCAGCACGTAATTCCTCCTCTTGCTCCTCTGCAAGTCGCTGCTCTAATGCTATCGCACGAGCCCTTTCTTCAGCCTTGCGTGCTTCGCGCCTCCTGCGATACTCTCTCTCTTCATCTGCTGTCATTGAACGCGGGCGTGATGACCTGTGACTTCTCTCCCGTTCCATCTCTTCCTCCCGGGCCAGTCTGCTGCTACGCGAACCCTTTCTGAGATCTGGCGATATAGCTTCCCTGGAGTCCTGGTCCTCGCGTGAACTTCGGTCGCGATGCGCACGTCGAGAGCGATGAGACTGGTATGTTTCTTTGCTCATCTCTGGTGATGGGGCCTGATGTGGTAGCGCTTCACGAGGACGTGGTTCACCATTGGCAACTAAGGGAATAATCACAGGCAGGGCGGCAAGACTGATCGATGCGGAATGAGTAGCATGAATGTTGTCAGTCATGTCGGGCTTCGCCATTGTATCCTCCGTCGGCGACATTCCTTGCTCGACCACTCGCTCTTTTACTTCGATATTCTCCTGTGAAGCTTCCATGACCTCCTCTCCTGTGTTAACTTTCGGGAGATCCGGTGGCTGCATGTCTGACGCGGTGCTTGTGATTGCTTCTGCCACTTGACCTCCAGCATGTTTCGAAGTTGTTTCGTCGACATCATCAACAGGTTTCGTTTCATCGGCAAGGATCTGGGTCTCGATAGGAATAGCGGTCTGATGCTCTTCGCTCGAAATATGAATATCTGCTTGCTCTGCAGGGCCTGTACCTCCGGGAACTTCTTCTTGATTCGAATTGTCAAGGTCGTCCACGTCGACAGCTTGTTTAGAACCTTCCGGTTCGGTCAACTCCGCCTTTGGTTCCGAGATTGCCGGAGCTACAGTCTCAATCGATCCTTCGTCCTCTCCAATAAAGCTCTGCGAATCGAGTGATTGTCCCTGGTGGGATGGAAATTCGAACAGCGGAGGCGATTTCCCCTCCGGAACTACGTCCTGCGTGTCGGCTTGCTCAATGTTATCGCTTGAGAAAACCTGCGCTTCCGCTGCTTGCGCTGGCTCTACCTTTTCCACAGGCACATGTGCTTCGACTTGTTCGATGACTGATATTGCTTCGGCTGCAACAGCCGTCGGAGAACTCTCGTTCGCTAGACTTCCTTGATCTGATTCAGGCTCCTTGGCAAGACTTTCCTCCGCCACTGATGGAATCAGGACTGCTGGTGCTGGTTCCTTTTCTGCTGTTGAATGAGCATCATTGACTGGTGGTGCTTCTGGATTGTCCTGTGCGGATGGAGCGTTATCTGCGTTCGATTCTTGGCCTGACGCAAGCACCTCATGTCTCACCGATTCATCGCTGATTGCCGGTTCATTCTCTTCCGGCAGACCATCCTCAACCTCCTGACCCTCCTCCATCTCCGAAAATTGCTCTTCCTCTGAATCATTGTCCTCCTCTGAATAATCGTCTTCTGTTGAGTCCTGATCGTCCTCTGAATCTTCTCCTGCTTCTGTATCTTGGTCTGTCTCCAAGACGGCTTCTGCTTTTGAGTCTTCTTTGGCTGCAGAAGCTTCTTCTACCGGGCTCTCGTGCTCGGTAGCTAGCTTGTATTCACTGGCTGAAGCATCCAATGCTGCTGGGGTCTGCTCCACCACCGCGACACTGTCCACCGTAGAAACATGCGCTATTATTGGTGCTTCCGCCTTCGCATCGGTATCCTCATCTGTTCCCTCCTGCCCCGTAACTTGGTCTAGCTGGACATTCTCCCGTAGCTCTCCTCTGGTTTGTTCCAATGGCACTGCATGCTCAGGTTCTGGCACCAGTGAAGTCACATCCACAGGCTTACCGTTGCCTTCAGTGGTGTTCCTCGGCACGACCTCGTCCCCAGCATCAGTATCATTCGAAGGCCTAAGCTCGGCCTCTGACGTTTGATCTTCATCAGTGATGGAGTCTTGCTCTGGCGACTGAGCCATTTCAGTCTCGAAACTGTTGCCCGATGCCTGGGTTTCTTTTGGCGTGACGCTGTATTTTGAAACTAGTGGTTCTCTCAGAGCAATCACTTCCTCCGAGGCGGGTACCTCCTCGGACACAGCCTGATCTTTGGGAGCAGGTGTCTTCTCCGACACAGTCGCCTCCTCGAGCACAGTTGCCTCCTCCGACATAGGCGCCTCATCCGGCGCAGGTGCCTCGGATAGCGCAGGTACTTCCTCCGGCATAGATTCCTTCTTTGGCGGGGGCTCTTTCTCTGACGCGAGTTCGTCCTTGGAAGCGGATCCGTCGCTCGGAGCAGGTTCGTCTTTTGCAGGTAGTTCTTCCCTCGAAGCGGGTCCGTCCTTCGAGACCGACTTCTCCTCGAAGACTGGATGTTCTTTCGCGACAGGTTCCTCTTTTGCGACAGGCTCCTCTTTCGCGACAGGCTCCTCTTTCGCGACAGGCTCCTCTTTCGCGACAGGCTCCTCTTTCGCGACAGGCTCCTCTTTCGCGACAGGCTCCTCTATCACGGCAGGCTCTTCGTCCTTCAATGTGGGCTCTGTTTCTACTGTAGAATCTTCATCCGGTATCGGCTCTTCTACCGCCAAATGCTCCTTTACTGGCGTAGATTCTACCTTTGGCGTAGGCTCTTCCTGCGGCGCAAGCTCCTGATTCAGTGCAGGTTCTTCCGTTGGTACAGGCTCTTCTCGCCGTATGAGCTTCTCGTCCGGCACAGAATCCTCTCCTACTGCAGCCTGTTCTTGCGAAGCAAGCTCTTCATCGACTGCAGGTCCGGCCTTTGGTCCAGATGTCGACTCAGGAAGAAGCCCGCCTTTTGAATTAGGACTTTCTGTGGCTGTAGGTTCACCCATTGGCGCAAGGTCTATCGTCGATATAGACTCCTGAACTAGATCAGGCTCTTTATTAGTGTCAAACTTGTAATCCGTGTCAGGTTCGTCGATTGAATCGGGCTCGTTCTTCATTTCAAGCTCGTCGTCGACGGAGATCTTGCGCTCAAATGATTCGGGGGCCGGAGTGGGTGCTATAATTCCAGTGCTGTCTACTTCTGAGACACTGCAATCTTCAGTCGTGGTTTTCTCGTTTTCTTCGATCTTGGTCTTTACAGGCTTATTCCCTGTATCTACTGACACCTCACCAGCAATAATGGTCTCGTCCGCAGCCGACGCAGCCTCGATGGTTACAGGTTCAGTCGCTTGAGATTGCTGCTTCTCTTCAATCTGGGGTACCTCGTCCGACTCTTCGACAGCCGGCAAATCGGCGTGCTGGGTCAACACGTCTGAGCCCAGAGAGACATCTGACTCTGTAGCATGGGTAGCATCACTTTCGCTAAATTGAATTCCGTTTGCGTCGGATAAAAGGTTGTTGTCATTTACTGTGTCGCTGGAAATGTCATCGTTCTGGGTATGGATGGTATCGCTGAGACCTGGCACATTTTCGACGTGCGACTTTGCCTCTTGTGGTACGTCTTTCGACTGTGGTTGATCCTCGAGTTGAGTCGCCTCTTGAGATTCAATCGCTGACTGCTCAGCAGGAGCGGACTCAGCTTCAACAGCCCGTGGCTCTGGAATTCCGATTT